CTTGTTTTCGCAATTTGGCCGGAGCACCAGGAAGACCTTGCGGAACGTATCTAGTCCTGTATTCCTTGCCATAGTATTCGTGATTTTCAGCTTCAGACCATTGACTTGGTACATTCCTAAATTTCGTCGGTATCGTCGGTGAGGCGCCGTCGCAAGCACAGTTACGACTTATCAGTAACAAACAATTTTGAGCTTTATTAGCGATCAGTTGACAAGTTAGGAGAAATGGGGAGAATTTAGGTCAGGAGCCCTGCAAACGGCACCTGGTACCGATGGTGATGATTACGCCCCACCAAACCCACTTGCATCGACGTTGGGAGAAACGAAAGCACATAATTGTGTGAATAAGTGAATGGGCCATATTAAGTGGGGTTGAGAGAAAGAGATGAGGCACCAGAAGATAGAGCCAAAAATAGAGGCGAGGAGTGATGCCACAAAGGTCGAACAGAAACTTGGTCAACGGGACTGTCTTGATTTGTCACTGATAAGTTGTAACCCTAGGTTCACGATGGCGCCCCTCAATGACTATGAAGTTTCCAGATTATTAGCCACTCGGAACTTGATTACGATACTTATATATAATATATGTGCTTTGAAACAAATAATAAAAGTCAGTAATGCCGCTGAATGTGGTATAAACGATCTTTCCATTGGGACAGCAAGCTGTTTACAGCTAGTGGTCCATTAAAAGATAGAAATGGACATCCAAAATCCAAAAAATGTTAGTATGCATGAATGAAACCCGGCAGAGTAACTGCAGAGTTGAACAATAAATGAAACAATGCAAACGGATTGAGCTCATTCTAAGATTACGGAAGTTGGAAAATTTATTTAGACTCAAAAGCAAAGTTATGTACATGAGAAAGGAATAAGAAATAGGATACAAGAATAATTTGTAAATAAAGTGAAATGTCTGAAAATGCAAGCACACATTAGGCTAAAAACAAAGAACAAGTGAAGTAGGCGTTCAAGTCAACAACACAGCGGATAAAAACAATGCGAACAGTTTTTCTCAGTCTCACAGGTCCGTGATGCAAGGGACGTATTTCATGCATATACCCACTCAACCCAGAAGTGGAGATAAAGGAATTGAATTTCGATGGCGATTATTTCCGATAAAGAAAACGTTTTGATGGTTGATCCAAGAGCCTCAAATTGGTGCTTGACAAAAATGTCAAATAATGAAAATCTCTAACCCAGTCGCGGTAATCATTTATGAAAATAGTAGAAAGTGCAAAATAAGTACTTTCAATAAAAGGACATTAAGAAGTACATTCGTTGTGGCAGACTAAGGAAGGATACTCCTGTTTATCTGAGAAAAAAGGCTGTCCGAGTAGAGAAAAGGCAAGATGAGCTTGGGAGCTTAAGGGGGAAGATGGAGGCCCGAAAGAATCGACGGCTAAATCACCGAGACGCGAGGTCAAGTAGGCGGTTGCATCGGCAAGTATAGTTCGCACTGAGGGAAGCTTGAGAATAGCCGTGAGATCCACGCCGTGAGCCGGTGAATCATGGTGGTTGGCGGACAGTTCTTGTGGAAGGAAAGAGGTGAACTCTAGCAGGGTATGGTTTGAGAATGGGAAATCAGAGGCTTCAAGTCGACCATCGACTGAGCTTGGAAGCTGGCCGGAATGCAGACGGGCAAGGGCTGTCAGGCCAGCGACAAGCCAGGCAGAAGCATCTTGCTCAGGAAATGCCGCTGCCAGATGAAGTCGGCGGCGTATCTCCCGAAGACAGCTAAATAGTTGGAAAAAAACAATTACCAGAAATTCTTTTCAACAGCATATCGACACAATAATTTCGTTTTAGAATAAATGGAAGGCGTACTTGCGGTAGGCTTTATTTTTCATTAGTATTTGAAAGCTTTTATCAGTTAACCTCGAAACAGTAGCAAAAAACTCGCAGAGAACCTCATTTAACAAGGCTTGACGAGTTCTAGTGTGGTGCTAATGGCAATAATCACTAAGGATGACGGTGAAACGTCTGGGAATGTACCACGCCCACGGTCCGACTTCGGAAATTATCACTCATACAATTGACTCCAGACTAGGCGCGCTCCTCTAAGTCTTACTACCAAAATCACCAAGTTGCGAAAACAAGGTCAAACAGCCTGTATACAACGAAAGAAGACTGCGACTACACAAAAGGCCACACCATCTTGGTCTTCATATGATCAAAATATATTGAGATGAGTCGCAACCATAAATATGCAAACCACGCGCTTGATTTTTGTGATCAAAAGGCTGGTGGCCACAGACATTCGTTTGAAGTCAAGAAAGAAAACAATGTTCCCTTAGCAGGCCA